TATTTGGAATCCAATTATCAATCCCTGAACTTCCATGATGGACTGTGTGGGAGCCAGTAAATTGAAATTCAATACCTTGTGGATTTCTTTGCAAAGTTATCTAGCCCAGTTTAGATGGCTTTCACTCTTCAAAGCATCAAAATGTGATTCTAAAATCCAGTTTATTAGCAGAGGTCTTAATAAACTAAGCTGTACATTTCATTAACTGCACCATATCCTTCCTAGACCAAAATCACCAAACTGGATCCGTGCACTCTAAATGCAATCTATGACTAATTATTGTAATATAGGTTTTTTATTGTCCTGGAGAAACTACCTCTGGTGCCATTCTTTTGCTCTGATAATGTTTTATTTATATTGCTTTAAACTGAAAGATGCACAGGGAAATGGAAAATGAAGGGCTAGGAAAAAGCTGTTAATAAAGATTAAAACTAGTCAAAAATTAAGTTTAGACACAAATTTGTAACTATTTTACTGATATCTGAATCTTAATTACACAAAATATTAAAATTCAATGCATAAGTCAGAGTGAAGTATTTAAACTTTCATAGACCCTCTGCATTTGTAATGAAATCAATAGTACTGATCCAGGGAAAATCATGTTGATTAGATCTGTAAATATGAGACTAAATTTCAATAATCCATTTCTTCCCTTTTAGTTTTTTGCTTATAACTTATAAAAGGCAACTACCTAAAACAAAAACTGAATACACATAACAATCTTAGATATTAAAGTATACAACTCTTGCAAAAGAACCTTTTCCCAACTTTAAAGTTACAGGTTCCCACCAGAAAAGCCAGTTCAGACAAAACAAACAAACAAACAAACAAGGTTTGTGTTAATGTTTATTAAGAAATTAAGTCTGTACTCTTACACATGCTAACCTCACTGTAACTTACTAAACTCAAAAGGACTCATTTCTGAGCAGTGTGTAGAATCACATGCAAATCTTTCCTCAGTGTAATTAAATACATAAATTACATATCTATAAACTAAATAGAACAAAAAATGAAATGTAATCATAGCCTAGTAAAAAACAGAAATAGCTGCTTAAGCAATAACAGAAAGCAATTGACAATCAAAGCAAGTTCAGTGATTTAGAAATGCTTAGAACCAATTCCCCACTTTTTTTTTCTGGCAAAGGACATCAAATTATACTCCAGAATCACAATGCTATTCGTATTGTTGAGCCTTACTAAAATAAAGGAAACTCTCTTTAGCAAACCTAATAAAAAATTGCTGCTGCATACATTATTTTCAACTTCAGAGGCAAAGTTCTTGTTTACTTTGGTGCAGATCATTCCATTAATACATCACATTTATAACCATTAATCGTCACTTCCACTTTGCTTAAGGTTCAGGGTTTTTTTTGTAAGAAATTGAACGCCAGCAGTCTTATGCATTTTATATTTCTT